TCCGCGAGTTTTGATCACAGGACTTTAAAACTTGCAGGATGTAAATAATGCACTATGAACTAAATCCACCCAAATTTTCATTAAATTCTACCCAACGGTTAAAAAGTTAGAGCAATTTCATAGTGTGGCAATTTCATCGTGGACACCCTTTACTCACAATTTTCGACGGAAAACGTACCGGAACTTGATTTACTCAACACGCACCATACTATAAAATGGTGCTAGATGGTCGTCAAAGTGATAACAAGATGACAAATCATCTTTATTTTGAGTAATTGAGCAATTTACTTCTGTTTACATCATATTTACGATGCAGCATTGATGGAGCCGTGAAATGAAATGAATATATCTTATGAAAGTTCATCTGGAAAAGTCAAAGATGCACATCAGTCTGATGGTAAAAACGTTTTCTTCTTCAATTCGAATGTTATATTGGATGGATTTTACGCAGGCTTGATGAAAATTATGATTTAATGCTAATTTTCACGAATTGTATATGCAGTCTGTCAACATTATCATCGTCATGCACTGGCGACATCTGCGTTGAGCTTTTGCGGCAATCTTCCAATCTAAAGAAATTAGTCAGGGACTTTGTCGTTCACTTTGCCGGAAATTATTGTTAAACAAGCTACAATTAAATATAAACGATTTTCTCATACAGTTTTACATTTTTTACTTCCAGTCCCCAGTGACACTCGATTTGTGATTTCCCTTTCACAGATTACAAAATAGGGTACCTGTCACTGCAATACATGTCTGGTATCTCTACATATGCATTTAGATTAACATTTGAAGTCCCGCCTTTTTTACATATTCTGCGCAAAAGATACTTTATGCCCCGCCCCATTCATAAAAATCGGTGGGAAATTCTGTGAGGAGTGAGCTATTCTTTGTGCAAAATGTGTAAAAAAGGAGGAGACAGGCATGTTTTGCACTGCAATGTCCTCTGTGAACAATTATAGGAAAACAAATTGTGTGTAGTTTCCTGCAGATGTTACCTCAAACAACAGCAGTGACATCTCATGGAACATGAATGCAGAAGCTTGACAAAATGATTAATTAAACAAATAAGAAGGGAAACTAATATCCCTTACAACGAGAAATCAGAACATCTGATCATCAAAAGTCCGTTCTAAAGATTCCAAGTCCAGTCGAAGCTAAAATAATAATATTTATTTAGTTTTTTTTTTTTTTTTCCTTTGGTTTGTTTTTTCCGTCGATCTTGTTTTCCGTGCTGAGCACTAATGCTACCGACGTGCCAAGGAAGGCAGCTTCCACACCTGGACCCTACCTATCGACCCATCAACTCATGAACCGGGGACCAACGGCTTTACTTCCCATCCGAAGGAAGACGTGATCAGAGATGTTATGCCTCAGAACATTCTGGCGGCGCCGACTGGGATTGAACCCAGGCCTGCTGGGGTGAGAGGTAATCACGCTTACCACTACACCACCGGCGCCGTTAATATTAATTTAGTGAAAAATACGATTTGGGTTTGATGCGTTGATTGAATTCAAGTTGCTTAGATGGAAAACAATGATTATTTATCGTAATTAATAAATATAAAAAAAATATTTAAAATACATCCCCTTAATTTGAAAAATCTTAAAGATCTGTATATTTTTCAAAAATCTGTAACCTGTACAGTGATGGGCAAACCACCGGTACAGCACCGGTACGGTTTTCTAAAGCATAACCAATGTGCTGATCTGTTGTACCGAGTGTATGGTGCTGCTGTTGGTTCGGTTTGGTAGTTGCAAGTAACATCGCACCGTGTTCACCAGTTCGCTGCACACGGTACGGTTCTGATTTTCCAGTACCGGTGTTCTGTGTTCACAAGGATGATGTTTTGAATTCAAGAACCGATCCGGTACTGTTGTGTGTTTATGTGCGTGGTGCGCAATAATTCAGAATTGCCAGTGATGGCAGATAACTAAACAGAAATTGTATTTGATGAATAATATTATGCAGTGTCAAGTCGAAATAGCGGTTTTTGAATACAGAAAAACTGTGAATTCAAATGATGTATTACGCAATGTGGGTATTTCCAGAATCGGTGTGACGTGGAGATCGGAAATCGTCAACCAACGCCACCTTGAAATCCAAGATAGCGGCTTCCGGTTATAGAAAAAAATTTAAACACCTTTAAACACCAGTCAAATACCTTTCAAAATGGGTTCCGGTTATATTAAAATTGGGAAATAATGCCAAATATCATTCAATAAGGGTATTTTTGGAATCAGAATGACTTATATATATCAGAAATCAATGTCTGACGCCATTTTGAAATCCAAGATGCCGGCTTCCAGTTGTAGGAAAACTGTGCAATAATGCCAAATATTCTTCAATATGGGTATTTTTGAAATCAGGGTGACGTATATATACCGGATATCAAAGTCTGACGCCATTTTGAAATCCAAGATGGCGGCTTCTGGTTGTAGGAAAGCTGGGATATAAAGCCAAATATCCTCCAATATGTCTATTTTTGGAATCAGGATGACGTCTTGAGACCGGAAATCAATGTCTGACGCCATTTTGAAATCCAAGATGGCGGCTTCTGGTTAGATTAAAACTGGGAAATAATGCCAAATATCCTCCAATATGGGTATTTTTGGAATCAGGATAACGTACATATACCGGAAATCAACGTCTGACACCATTTTTAAATCCAAGATGGCGGCTTCCGGTTATAGGAAAACTGTGCAATAATGCCAAATATCCTTCAATATGGGTATTTTTGAAATCAGGATGACGTATAAATACCGGAAATCAATGTCTGACGCCATTTTGAAATCCAAGATGGCGGCTTCCGGTTATATAAAAACATTAAAAGCTGGGAAATAATGCCAAATATAATTCAATATGGGTATTTTTGGAATCAGGATGACGCATATATACCGGAAATCAATGTCTGACGCCATTTTGAAATCCAAGATGGTGGCTTCTGGTTAGATGAAAACTGGGAAATAATGCCAAATATCCTCCAATATGGGTATTTTTGGAATCAGGATGACGTATATATACCGAAAATCAATGTCTGACGCCATTTTTAAATCCAAGATGGCGGCTTCCCTTTATGGAAAAACTGGGAAATAATGCCAAATATCCTTCAATATGGGTATTTTTGGAATCTGGATGACGTATAAATACCGGAAATCAAGGTCTGACGCCATTTTAAAATCCAAGATGATGGCTTCCCTTTATAGAAAAAACTGGGAAATAATGCCAAATATAATTCAATATGGGTATTTTTGGAATCAGAATGACGCATATATACCGGAAATCAATGTGTGACGCCATTTTGAAATCCAAGATGGTGGCTTCTGGTTAGATAAAAACTGGGAAATAATGCCAAATATCCTCGAATATGGGTATTTTTGGAATCAAGATGACGTATATATACCGAAAATCAATGTCTGACGCCATTTTTAAATCCAAGATGGCGGCTTCCCATTATGGAAAAACTAGGAAATAATGCCAAATATCCTTCAATATGGGTATTTTTGGAATCAGGATGACGTATATATACCAGAAATCAAGGTCGGACGCCATTTTAAAATCCAAGATGTTGGCTTCCGGTTATAGAAAAACTGGGAAATAATGCCAAATATCCTTCAATATGGGTATTTTTGGAATCAGGATGACGTCTTGAGACCGGAAATCAATGTCTGACGCCATTTTGAAATCCAAGATGGCGGCTTCTGGTTAGATTAAAACTGGGATATAATGCCTAATATCCTCCAATATGGGTATTTTTGGAATCAGGATAACGTACATATACCGGAAATCAATGTCTGACACCATTTCTAAATCCAAGAAGGCGGCTTCCGGTTATAGAAAAACTGGGAAATAATGCCAAATATACTTCAATATGGGTATTGGTATGGGTATGGAAACTGGCTACAGTTGAAGAGTTCATACATAACGTACACTTTGTCCTATTGGCTTAAAACCGATTTCAGTAACAAGAATTCTTCCTTCATTAGGTTTGATTACCTCTTAATATTTGAACAGCAACAATTTAAATTCCAGTTCCAGTTATGTTCAGGGCATTCCAACTTTTTTTTAATCTCTAGCAAAAAAAAATTTTTAATATCACATCAAAGGGAATGCACTTCAATCATGGCGAAAATATGATGTTATATTAGTTGCTGAAAAGGACAAAAAAAATATTAATACAGTACATGAACTGACATTACGCTGCTTTTACTGCATTTGTTTATTTTTGTGGCCATAAAAATGACATGAAATTTTCTACATGATTGAAGTGCATTCTATTCATTTATTTATTTATTTCGTCAAGCAAAGTAGACTACATACACTGACAACTCTTGGATGCAATATTAAAATTTATTTTTTGCTGTGCATGCATCCCACAACCAAGTCACTGGTATCACATGTTTTAAAAAATTCAGTGTAAACAATTCCTATAAATGTAATAAGATTAATTATTGCGGAGTTCGCACCAAAGTAGACTGCTGCGGTAAAAATATTTCCTCAAAATTCATGCTCTAAAAAATAAAAGTTAAAATTATCAAAGTTCTATTGATTTAAAATTGAGGGATAATTTTTAGCGCAAGGGTGTTCTTTGGTGCAAAATGGGCAATACAGATTATCGAAAATAAAAGTTTTTTAAAAACATGTAGGCTTCAAAATTATCCAGATAGACATTGTTAATATAATTATTCGGATAGACCTATCCAGTGGATATAAATAAACGTAGTGTATCCCTATGCACATTTTTTTCCTCCGGATAATATTCAAGATAAAATTATCCGGCTAATTTTAACTTGGATATTATCCATTATGAAACGACCTGGACGCGTGGTGTATCGTTTGAGGAGGAGTATTTACGGGCTAAAGCAGTTTGCTAGGTGCTGGAACAAGCTACTGGATGCATTTCTTTAAAGCATGGGGTTCAATTAAAATGCTGTTATCAGTCCAGTGTCCAGATTAGGTGTTCTAGATGCATTTCCTTAGTTGCTAATTGAGAGTCTATGGCCAGGGTAGTTGCGAATCAAGATTTATTATCTCCATAGGTTGATAGATCATGATATGACAGATACTTATTTTCTGATTGTTGTGACTTCGTATTTGATGTGTATGTGTACACACACAGTTACTGTATGGGATTGCTATTCTTCTACCAATACTATCAAGTGTTACCGAAGGAATCACCTTAACGGCAGGATTTCTCTACTCTGATTTTTAAAATACCTCAGTTTGCCGTAAACAGGCATATAGGAATATTGAACAGATCTATGGAAATAAATCCAAACGATTATTGCATACCATCAGAAATTTGTTTTTAATGTTCGTCAAAAAGGATTTCAATTAAATTCGAGTAGTTGACAACTTTCATTCCTGCACATTTTTCAAGTTTTTGATTGACTGAAATACGAAACTCCTTCTGGATTGTTGCTTGGTTGATTATCTTGATTTAAGAGCTTTATCTCCAGGTCTTTTTCCAGGCCATGTTCGGTTCGGTACCTTTCGAAAGTCTTTTTGCCCGGCAAATTTGCCAAATACTTTGAACATCTCGAATGCTTCCCGGTTGATTGTCTGCATCTCTTCTGAACTGATCATGAAACCCTGACCGCTGGTGGCGCCACACGACAGTTTCAGTCCGTAGACGTACTCAACTCCTAGGCTACCATAAATGTAATCACCTCTTCCATTGGCCGGATCGTGCAAGGCAGCTGCGCTTCCGACGGTGTACTCTGGGCCGTTGATCGCTCTAACTGCCCGAGTGGCTTTTTCTCCCAGTTCCTGCAATTCTGCTTTGTTCGGTACTTCAACGTTATCGTACCCATAGGGGTATAGGATGGAGTTTCCGCACGATTGCACCGACAAGTAGACCTCGGTAACTGGTGCGCACTTTGCCATTAGTTGCATTAGAGCTCGGGTCTCCAACTCTGATCCAGGTGTGTGCCCTGCATAATCAGTTGAACATTCCTAGAATCAATGCGCAAGATCAATAGAATGGCAAAGATTTGGAATTGATTTGAATACTCACATCTCCATAATGCTTCCACCGAAATGGAAAGTTTCTGCTTAAATCCGTTCCGTTACATGTCAAACTGGTTGGTGATCTATTTTTACTCCAAAATCGATTCTTTTCATGGGTGTACACATAGCCATCCGGATTGGCAACCGGCATGATCACCCAGTCGGTATTGCGCAACAGATCCAAGTTATCCGTAGAACGTTCCACCAATTGATGGATCAGGTAAATCACAGACATGTGTCCAGCCCATTCCCGAGCCTGAATTCCAGCATCAATCAGTACAACTGGATGAGAACCCGTCACATTTCCATTAGTGCTGATAGTGATGATTTTTATCGGTCGATCTTCGTGAGTTCTGCCATAGTCTTTTACGTACACTAAATTTGGATACTTAGATCTCAGATATTCCATGTATTTATAGATCTCGTCCAAGGTCCAGAAGTAGTCAAACGTTGCTCGTTCATCAGCCTTTTCAATGCTACGACACGTACGAGCACGAATTTGGTTGCTAAAATTTTCACTTTGAACGTCGTTGTGCAAAAGTCGATGCCTGACGTTATGCTCTCTCAGATACTTCGTGAATGAGTCTTCGTTCCATGGACTAACCATCACCGATGAGCTTCGATCAAGAAGAGGTAGGCTCCAGAAATCTAAATCCAATTCACTGCTTACCCGGTGAAGTAGTTCCAATTCAGCACGTGTAGATGGTCTTACATCGTACAGTTTATAGCTGAAACGAATAACAGAGTGTTAGTCACGGTTACATGTAATGAATTAAGCTGTTATTACCCTTTATACGAGTCGGTATCTGCACTGAAAGCAGATGCAAGTAGAGCTGATAGCAGCCAAACTGCGCGAACAATCTGCTTCATCCTGATGGTAAACCGAACAACAGACTGTCGCACTCTACGCAGAACATCATCGGTATCTGGTTTAATGTCATGCAAATGTTATTGAGATGGAGCGAAGAGCGCGACGTTATCATTTAAAACTGGAATGATTGGTTGGTGGAGTCCCCGGAATAATGTAGATTTGGTGTCAACCCTCGTCTCTATTCTTTTGAAATACACACGCAAAACAAATGGCATCAACATCAAATGTCAGTGAGGATTTCTTACCTCCATGTTTCTTACAACACAATGTAGAAGCAGGTTTTTCCAGAATGAATATTTTTTTATACCTTAATTTATGGGAAAACAATATTTTTTTTTTCGAAAATTTAGCTAACATAAACCAACATAATTTAAAAATGCTTCCAACGACCAGATTACAAATCGTTACAAATTATGTATACATTTTATGCACATCCGTGATAGAATCTTACATTTCCCGGTTGGGTGCAGAAATACTCGTTCTTCCGGATTGTGCTAGGAAATACGACGATCGATAAACCGGTTTGCAACGAATCGCTTCGTCGCTCGCCAAGGGCGGCCAGTCCAGTGTTGATAATTCTCAACCAACAATAGAAAGGGGCACATCAGCTTTTGTAAAATAAAACCTGTAACGCCTACACTATCGAATGGCGAGTATTCCATGAACCCGACGATATCGTTAGTTTCTGTGGGCCACGAAGTTGTCGAAATCAGAATCGGCTTCAGTAATTAACACCCTCCAATAGTAAAGGTGCTTATTCAGGATTAGAGTTTTTTTTTCAGGATCAGGAAATGCATTCGTGGATTCATCGAGCGGGTCTCAGGATTGAATACACTCACTTTTTTTTATTACACATTACACATTACACATTACATTTTTTAATACACTCGCTTCGTTGTCGTGCACGGCAGTCTAATTGCTCATGCTCTACCATCGTATCTCGCACGCAAAAAAAAAAACCGTTCCGATATTCGTGAACAAAAAATCACGATAAGCTGAATCACTAGTTCTTTACAATTCATGACTTAGTTCCCATAAACGTGATCGAGTAAATAAAATTTTCATGATTTTAATCTCAAATCCTTGAACTTAGTTAGAACAGGCCGTTCAGCGCGACTAGCGATTTCATAACGCAAAATACAAAATAAGCTCATGATTTTGTGATACCACGAACCCATAATTGTGATTTTCGTTCCTCCTGCAATCGTGAACTTGAATCACATTCAAAGCTGCAGCTACCATTTTCAGGTTGTGGCTAAACTTATCCCTACTGAGTGCCACATCGTCAGAATGGTGGTGGAGTTGGCCAAAGTCCTCGAAGGAAAGGATGAACCAGTGAACGTCATGTTCCAAAAGACAAAACGAATGGTATGTTTACAAGATCAACATTCGATAAAAAATAATGTTATCAAATAACTAGATATCATGTGACAATGTGATTTGCATTATTGAGCAGTTGGAGATCTTCAGTCAAGCTGAAGTCTAAAACACATATATCTTTCAGATTTTATGGTGATCTATGATCATCTAGAGGTCTTTTGAATATTTTTGAGCAACATAGTATCTTGCAAAATACCTGGTAGTAAGTTGAATTTTTGAGCAGTTGAAGACCTTCAGTATGATACCTGGTCAAGCTGAAGTCTAAAACAAATATCCTGCAGAGTTTTTGGAGATCTATGATCACTTGTAGGTATTTGGAATAATTTATGAGCAACCTAGTATCTTGAGAGCAGGGCTGGAAAGCACCTCAGAGCGTTAGAAAAGAAGCTTTGTGCATGCATCTCACAACACTCGACAAAGAGTGTGTTGGGGAACTGGATAATTGGCTCCTTCGACTGGGTGGATCCTCAACACTCGGTCTCTTCGAATGGGTTAAAGGTAGTAATCCATAGGTTTTTGGTGAGGAATTCTTCCGTAAAACAATACACTCGCGGCTTAATTAAAACACTCCATTTAACCAAAAAACACTAACTACACAAACTACATTTATTGCCTTAAACTAGCAATAGACACTTAATCTAAACGATAAAAACTAGCCATGCGTGGCTCTTGACTAACGATCGGAGAATGCTAACTGACTATTTGCTCCTAAAATACCACTGGTCATCCACAGACCGACGATCGATGGAGTTCGGGACCATCCGTTCGAACAGGGAGAATGAGATCTCTCTCTTAAGCTGGGCTTAGCCTAGGCAAGTCAAATTATCAGCTCAGTTGAATTCAATTGGCTTGAAAAGTTGAGCCTGGTTCAACTTTTTTCAATTCAAGTGAGTTGAATGGTATGGTTTACACGTTCAATTAGCTTTCAAGTCAATTGAATTCAACTGACTTGATCAATTGACTTGCCCTGTCTAAACCCAGCTTTACTACTGGCTCAACTTCCACGAGCATATTCACCACTGCGTTTAGAATACACAGTGACTCCTACAATCTCCCATACAGCCTGGCATCTCACTCCGTATCGGCTACTCTCATTGTAGACACGAAGGGTTGTTTATCACTTCAGGCTTCCTACCAGTTTCTGCTCTGACTTGTCTACTGGATGGATGATCGGCAGAACAATAGGAAGCGGTCGCAATTATATCCAGTGGACATCAGGGTTTAAAGGGGGCGGAGATGTCACTCCTAAACAGAGTGTGTGGTTCTCCCATTTACATCGCACACTCTTTTTCAACTAATCTGTGAGCAAGCGATCCACACAATGAGCGGTACACTCCGTGCAGCGCAGGGAGCGAATATAATACAACAAGCGCTAATCTCTTCATTGAATTCTTTGCAGACTCTGCTTACCACGACTGTACGCATAAGAGATAAAGAAGAATTTGGTATTTTTGCTTTTTTTTTTTTTTTAACTCTTTATTTGTTCCAAATTCAAAATAAATTACATTTCATTTTTAACCTAGGTGCTCCAGTTACTGCAGTAACGTACCAGCCTTAATTGTTATGATATATATCTAAGTGTTTTTACATTGTTCATGTCTTGGCAATTAAGTATTTTAAACAGGTTTTTTAACCTGCATGTCAGTATAACAATTGATATCTTAAAACTAAAAACTAAAACTAAATCTTATCTAAGTATAAAGGGAATTAATCGTTGCAATTGAGGATTGCAACGATTTTTGCCTGAAATTATTAATTATTTTGTTGGACATTTGTGCTAAAGTCTCAACATTCGAAATTCTATGTACCTCGGTAGTACTGTACCAGGGAGGCAACTTCAAAATCATTTTCAGAACTTTGTTCTGAATCTTTTGAAGTGCTTTTTTCCTGGTAGTGCAACAACAAGACCATATTGGCACAGCGTAAAGCATGGCCGGTCTAAAAACTTGTTTAAATATTAGAAGTTTATTCGTCAGACAAAGTTTGGATTTCCTGTTTATAAGAGAATACAAACATTTTATATACTTGTTACATTTGGCTTGAATGCCCTCAATGTGATCTTTAAAAGTTAATTTTTGGTCAATTATTAATCCAAGATATTTCACTTGGTTTGACCAGGAAATTGGAACTCCGTTCATAGTGACTATGTGACTACTACTAGGTTTCAAAAACGAAGCTCTAGGCTTGTGTGGAAATATTATAAGTTGAGTTTTGGAAGCGTTGGGAGAAATCTTCCATTTTTGTAAATAAGAAGAGAAAATATCTAAACTTTTCTGCAGTCTGCTGCAAATAACACGAAGACTTCTTCCTTTAGCGGAAATGCCTGTGTCATCAGCGAACAAAGATTTGTGGCAACCCTGAGGCAAATCAGGGAGGTCCGAAGTGAAAATGTTATACAATATAGGCCCAAGAATGCTACCCTGAGGAACTCCTACACTAACAGGTAGTCGATTGGATTTGGAATTTTGGTAATTTACCTGCAGAGTTCTGTCAGTTAAATAATTTTGAACTAATTTCATAATATAAAGTGGAAAATTAAACTTTTTCAATTTAGCAATCAAACCTTCATGCCAAACACTGTTGAATGCTTTTTCTATGTCTAGAAGAGCAACTCCAGTTGAGTGGCCTTCAGATTTGTTTGAACGAATTAAATTGGTAACTCTTAAGAGTTGATGAGTAGTTGAATGCCCATGGCAAAATCCAAACTGCTCATCTGCAAAAATTGAGTTCGTATTGATGTGAAGCATCATTCTATTCAAAATTATCTTTTCAAAAAGTTTACTTATTGAAGAAAGCAAACTTATTGGGCGGTAGCTAGAAACTTCAGCTGGATTTTTATCCGGCTTCAAAATTGGAACAACTTTTGCATTTTTCCATTTATTAGGAAAGTATGCCAAATGGAAACATCTGTTAAATAATTTTACCAAGAAAGACAAGGAACTCTCTGGGAGTTTTTTGATGAGGATATAGAAAATTCCATCATCACCTGGAGCTTTCATATTTTGAAACTTTTTAGTTATAGACCTTACTTCGTCCAAATCAGTCCCCCAGGAATCATCAAAAATATTTTCCCGAGAGAAAATATTCAGAAAATCCCGAGCAACCTGATTCTCAATAGGACTAGTAAGACCCAAACTGAAATTATGGGAACTCTCGAATTGCTTAGCAAGTTTCTGAGCTTTTTCCAAGTTTGTGATCAAAATTTTACCACCTTCTTTAAGCGGTGGAATAGGCTTTTGAGGTTTTTTCAAAATTTTTGTGAGTTTCCAAAAGGGTTTGGAACTCGGGTCTAATTTAGAAATATTATTTTCAAAAGTTTTGTTCCTCAGGGCAGAGAATCGCTTTTTAATTTGTTTTTGCAAATCCCGCCAGATAACCTTCATGGCAGGATCGCGTGTTCTTTGATATTGTCTCCTACGGACATTTTTAAGACGGATCAAGAGCTGAAGATCGTCGTCTATTATAATTGAATCGAATTTAACCTCGCATTTTGGTACTGAGGCAGCTCTTGCTGCAACTATAGAAGTAGTCAGAGATTCAAGAGCATAATTAATTTCATCTTTGGTTTGCAAAGGAATGTTTGGATCGAAGTTATATTCCATAAATGTTCGATATTGCTCCCAATCAGCTCCATGGTAATTGAAAGTAGAGCTGTTGGGATTACAAATTATTTCTTGGGATATTTCAAAAGTTACTGGAAGGTGATCAGAACCGAAGTCAGCATGGGTAACCAGTTGGCTACAAAGTTGACATGAATCAGTTAAGACTAAATCAATAGTGGAGGGATTTCTTGCAGAAGAAAAGCATGTTGGACTGTTTGGATATTGAATAGTGTAATAACCTGCAGAACAATAATCAAACAGAATATTACCATTGGAATTGCTTTGAGCATTATTCCATGAGCGGTGTTTTGCATTAAAATCACCAATAATGAAGAATTTAGACCTATGACGG